CTCCAAAAACCTACAATTTAAAACGACCATAGAAACCCTTTGTATAACCAAAGCACTGGCAGCAGAAACTAAGAACAGGGGTCGCTTGAAGCGCTTCCTGTAGCGCAATAAAACCGGAAAAGAAAGGCCGGGTCAGCCACTGCGTTCGATATCATTACTAGTCGGTTACACTCCCCTGTGCACGACGGGATGGCAACGATGAATGGGTGCTCCAAAAGATAGGTGACATCCTTGTTAAGTACGACAGAGGAAATTGTGTGAAACTGGTGGACAAAACCTTTGGAATCTATCGGTCGATATGATAGACAGAGCGGTGGTCCGAGCAACCATGCATCTTAGGAGACCCCTGTCATTTAACTTGCTTAAGGCTAGATAGTGTGTTTCATTAAAGTTCTAGGCGTTGATATTTCTGCGGACTATGGTATTAAAGTTAAAGGACCCAGAAAGGTTGTATGACCCGTTTATTAGCCTGCAGAACAATGTAAGAAGTTTAACGTACACTTATCTATAAGAAGTTAGCGTACGGGAAGAATTTCTCAAAACATCAAATAAACACAGAAGACAAACCTGTATGTTGCAAGTCGTCGACCGCGGGGAACAAGACAGAAGGTGGAATTATTCAACAAATCCTCGAAAGAGACCCTGGAAAGAGAGGAAACAAGGGGAATAAAATGGCGCAAAGATGGTCTTGAGGACTTGGTTCTTGAGAATATCGTCTAATATAAGGGTCTGGAACGTATGGCTTGCGAGCCAGATGTGGCTCTTTTGATGATTTCATCTGGCTCTCTGAGATAAAATTGGACTTCGACACCTCAGATTTGGTGATTTTGGTTCCTCTAATGACGTGTTACCGAGGCTTATTATACTCATAGTTAACTGAATTCAATCTTAAATATATATTTTATGGCTCTCACTGAAATATATTTCCAAATATTTGCTTTCCTGGCTCTCTGAGTCAAAAGGTTCCCGACCTTTGGTCTAATACTTCATTTCATATTTGGATTATGTTGGAACCTTGCAGCTTTTGTCAGAAACAGTATCCGCGTATTGACTGCACCGGCGAAGTATGGTTTATTTGAGAGAAAAACTACAGGAAAGATTCCGGAATTTGGAATGAACAAAGGAACACTAGAAGGTCTGCTACAGCTAACAGTGGGCTAATAACTTGAAACTATATTCGCCCGTATGTAGAGCGCTGTGCTCTCACCTCGAGACATGCAGCACTGGCCGTTGAATGGTTAATGCTCCCTATAATTTTCACGTGTTTTTGCTGCTATGGTTTCTGCCGATGAACTCCTGTACGAGTTCCAAAGCTCAGAAGAATAAACAAGTTATTCCGGCGCTAAACCAGTCTCCTTCTTCTCGACTGATGCACACAAATGCACCTCGAAGATTCGCTTCCATTAGTGTTAAGTAATTAGAAATGTTTTATGACTTCGCTAAGGAAATCTTCAGAGATTGCATTTCTGCATGCAGCGTCAGCAGACGCAAGTCCGAGCTTAATTGCGTTAGGGGATACTAGGGTGTCGGAGCACAGCGTTGAGGAGAGGCAGGACTAGAAGAAGAAGAAGAAGAAGAAGAAGAAGAAGAAGAAGAAGAAGAAGAAG